TTTTTTTTCTGGATCTTCATATTATCTCGAGATTCGTGCAAATAATTTTTGGGTGTTTAGCCTTAAACTCACGCATGAAAATATTTATTTCATTTTTAAACAATTCATAATAATAAAATTTTTTATGTCGTATTAAAAATCTGAGTTCATAAATAAAATATTAAAGATTTGATAATTAGTATGTAAATAAATAAAATTCAGTGGCATATATATAAATGTCCCTTTAATTTAAAATATGATTAGATTTATACAGCATCCGTAACCTTTTCCTCCCTCAATATTATAAATGAACCAGCTATCTTTCCAGCTTTTCAGTCCCCTCCTACTCCATCGTCATTTTTAGACAAAAGAATACATACCAAGGTCTATGTATTTCCTCTCCTCCTTTTATTTCTTCAATAACACTCGATTCCTTCTCAATCTTATTCATCCCTCGCTACTTGTCTTCCATGAATCGAAAAGGTTCAAATTTGATGGGTTTTATAAGTTCGTTCATTGATTTGATGACATTCTGAGATTTCTTGTTTTCTCCTGTAAATTCTCTATTGAGTTTTCAAAGCATTGACGCTATTTGGAACGAGTTCCATGTAAAAGAAAATCTTTTTTCATTGTTTGGCTTGGTTTTGTTTTCGTTTGATTTAAGGCAGCCTAGCTTAATAAATCCTATATAAATGGCATGGCTAGAGGAGAGACACCCACAATTTGAGAATTTTGTTGGGATATACTTGACGGATGCAGACGAACGGCATTGTAAATCAGCTAATGAACAAAATTTGTCTTATGAGAATTGCCAGCTTCCAAAGTCATCTAATGTTGAGCAGGCTGGTGTTGACATGGATTTGGAGTGTGGATCTATGGATTTTAAGGCAATTGTGGACAAGTCTGAGAAAGATTGCAGGATCTGTTTCATTAGTTTAAAGGACTTTAGCCAGGAATTAGGCGTTCCAATTATGTTGGGTTGTTCCTGCAATGGTGATTTGGCTTTTGCTCACCAGAAATGTGCGGAGAAATGGTTTGAACTCAAAGGAAACAAGTGAGTGATTTTTTATTTTTTTTTT